CTTTCGGACGAGGTGGCCGAGCGGTTAAGGCGCCAGCTTAAGGTGCATGCATTCTCATCGAGAGTCCATGATTTAAGCGCTGGTCCGAAAGGGCGCGGGTTCGAATCCCGTCCTCGTCAACATCACTTTTGGCAATGTCCTCTCTGGGCCTGATGGTCTTTTTGGCGGTACCTTACCTTCTGTTGTGTGATAAACAGACTCTGTCGACATAAATGGTACCAGCTATGGACAACCTACCTACTACCACCTTCACCTCCGCCGTCAATCTCGTAGGCTACATGTATCTCGACGACGGAGATCGATCAGCACGGCACTACAACGAAGTCGGCAGGGATTGATGGACATCGTCGACGTCGTTGGTCACCACCCAGATGTATGCTTACGTACCGCGTTGACTGGTGACTGTCAGCAACCCGTCTGCCGTTGCTGATTTGGGACTTCGGTGCAGTATTCCGGATGCCGTCAGTGTCATTTCGTTGAGACAGTCATGTTCATACCTACTCTAAGTCCCAGACTACAGACTGCGCTGCTCCGTCAAACCGCCCTGGACGTCCAATATGGATACAATGCAAGCATTCAGCCCTCCTCCGTAGTCGTAGTCCGTCGCCTCCTTTGCCAACTTGAAGCAAGCGCTGAAAGCATCCTGCGCAAGTCAATCCTCGTGACGCAACCCACAAGCCATCTGTCCGCCGAGTGTCCGTGGCACAACACCACTCATTTCCTGCCTATGCGTCGCCGTCATAGTCCGTCTCCTTACCACGCTTTGCCGCTACCACGAGGCCTTACACGTTCTGAGGCTTCTCTTCAATTCCCCGCAGAATGGCGTATTCATTCGCCATCTCTTCCTTGCTTCTTGGCCTCCCAAGCCACTCCGGAGACTGTGCATCAATTCCCCCAGTGCTCTCCCGACCACTCTCTTGCCCACGAGCACCACTGCAAGGTTGTACGCTCAAGTCCGTTGTACAGGGAATCCTCGGAGCCAACCTGCACGAACTGCTCCACGGTATCGTCCCAATAGACTGCCGCTCTTGCCTCAAGCCAGCGCTCGTGAAGCTTCAAGTCCGAAGACGTAACCTGCAAACCCGACTTCGGACTTGCGCGGGATGGCGGAACATTCCAAGCGCCAGAATGTAGATCCTTCGTGTACGGCAGCACTTCGGCGCAAAACTTGACATGATTAAAAGGATACGGACCGATCTGAAGATGATAGATCATCTTCAGTGACTGCAACTTGTCGAGTGTCTCGCGCGGTATCGAGAGGAGCACCTGGTCGCGCAGGTAGAGAGTAGACTTCCGCTCTCGAGGCCTGTCCCGGTGGTCGTGCGATGTTCGGGCCCAGTCGTTCACGCCCTGCGCCGGGACAGACACTCGCTCGGTCAATGAGCCTACATGAAGCCCCAGCCGACGGAGCTTGGGCAGCTTGGCAAGTACATCGAGCGATGCTGGCCAGCTGGGATGCGGCCACCGCTGATCACAATCCGGCTTCCGTAAGATTCTCCTCCGATGCGGGTTGGATGAGAAGAGGTCCCAGTCATGTTCGTCGTCAGGATCGTCGTGATCGGAGAAAAAGTGGTAAGTCTCACCCAGCTCGATCGACGTGATGTTGTTGACTGCTTCGGATAGCGCCACCGAGAAGGACCCACGGAACTTGCCGCAGTCGCCGAACACGAAGGTGTTGCCGCTCCAGTAAGTCATAAGACCGGCCATGAAAAGATGAGAGTGTACCAGGAGTATAGCTTGGGAGTGTCTCTTCTTCGGGGGGCGCTTCCAGCTTGGATCGATGAGGAGCATGGTTTCGCGTTCGAGTGCACGACGCTTTTTGGATGTGAGGTCTGTTGGTCCCATAGGAATTCTGTCGCCCTGGCGGATAAGGTACGTGAGTATGCGTACGTGCAATTCACGTGGGAGGCGAAGCAGTGGCGGAGCAGGTCCTGCATGGTCGGTCATGTTGAGTGTGCTGGTCAGTCCAAGCTCAAGCTGATGATGGAGGATGTATCGGGTTGATAGAGGGCGACGAAACGCATTTCAGCTTGCTCAGATACGGCCAGGCATTGCATGGGAACCATGACAAGTGTGTTGAGGAAGGACATGCACGTCTCATCTTTGTTGAGATGGTACGTTCGCGAGGTGTTTG